TGTTAATCATGCTAGAAACATGCTAGTAAACATGCTAGTATCTTGCTAATCATGCTAGCAAAATGCTACTCACTTGTTAATTGTGCTAACAACAGGGTAGTAACTTGGTAATCATGCTAACAACATGCTAGTTACTTGCTAATCATGCCAGCAATATGCTAGTAACAGGCTAATCATGCTAAAAAAACATGCTAGAAACAAGCTATCAACATTTATCTAATCTATCTCACTTTTCAAACTTCAGGCTTTTACAACTGCTTTAAACTTTCGGGCTAGGCTTTCTCAAGCCAACCTAACTTTTTTTATCTAGTTGCAATTAACATGCAATTCAGTGTCTGAAAACATTACATTCAGTTTGCACTTAATTATATTCTTTTAAAATAATATTTTTTCCATAACAAGTACTCTTTTTAAAACAATGCTAAAGTGCACTTTTCACAAGCACACCTCTCCTCATCAAGCCGCACAAAACATGATATAAACAGATAGTTTTATCTACCTTGAAGTTGGAAAACACATGCTTTCCTATACACAACATCACATTTAGATTACAGGGACATCAACATATAAAGCGAGGCATCTGTATAGAGGAAGCTGTCACTGTGATTTCAATCGAACACGCACAGGAATAAATATGTAATGCGATAACATGGAAAGCACTAGAGGACTGATGTGTGTGTATGTGTTTGTACAGGAGCTCTGACCTCTTTAGCTCTGTGATGAGAAGAGCGGTGCACGGGATGCCCAGCGCCATGAGAGAGATTGAGTTTATCGCTGGCTTGATGAAGGCCAGACAGGTGGTGATCCCTGAGAGGACACCGATGACCATTTGAAACCTCGATCTAGTGACATGGGAAGGAAACAGGGGAAGACGAAAGGAGTAAATAAGAGAAAAGTAGTGCAGAATGTTGTGCATCTTCAAGTACACTTTGATCTGAATGTGTTTGCGTGTAGATATGCGAGCGCACCTGTCTCTGCGGAATATCTTGGGCAGATATCTCTTGGGAAACCACATGCCGATGGCACACATGAGCACCCACAGTATAGCCAGCTCATCCAGCATCTGCCCCAGGAAGCTCAGCGTCGCATGGAAATAAGTGGAGCCGATACCTTAAGAAGAACGGCAGGATCATGTGGCAATTATACATAGCAATTTACATTGTTTTAGCCCTGCATCCAAGCAGAATCGTTCACATCAGCATTTCGATGCATCATAAAAACGATTACATACGCGACGCTGTGTTCTTTTACACACGAGCAGCTCATGATCCAGTGTTTTCAGTTTCTCAGAGAGACTCGATTCACAATAAATGCTGCTCCACACAAACTGCTGAGCTTCGGTTGCGTTAACGTGCATTTGGGAACGTAACATGCGACAACCATCTTGTGCTTATCAACAAAAGAGAAGCTTTATGGGCTCCATCAAAATAAATGTCTGATGTTTTTTTTAATGTTTGAAAATTAAGATAGTAAGGGGTCAAAGTATACTTCGGTTTTTACGCGTTTAGTGCGCGTGACGCAAAATTCGTCACCAGAATAGTACGCGCGTACTAGGGCTGTGCGAAAAATCGAATGCGATTTTCATGCGCATCTCGTCAGTAAAGCCGCTTCTCGTGATTAGTAGTTAATATTCAGCACGTGCTTTCAGATGGAGCGGCATTTACTACACAGAGCCGTTAGTTCACTGACAAGCTACACAAAATCACGTTCAGAATCGCGATTTTGTGTAGCTTGTCAGTGATCTACGGCTCTGTGTAGTAAATGCCGCTCCATCTGAAAGCACGTGCTGCTACTATACACGCAACACCCGATTTTTGTAACCAAAGCCACTGAAACCTTTAGCCAAAAAAAATGCAACCTTTGGGAGCGACGTTTGTGCTGAGCTGGCAACTTTCCCATGCTGCTCCACAGTGAGCTTTAAATACACCAGCGGTTTGTTGGGTAGAAGTCACACTTCTGCACAGACCAGTTTCCCAAATGACTGTCTTAACCTCAGCTGTTAAAGGAGGGAGAAGGTAAGTAAAGTAAGGCAAGTAAAAAGGAAGAAGCTTAATAAAAGCGGAGCTCTGGTGAAGGCGACACCAGTGTGAGAACGTCAGCTTCAGTAAACCTAAAACTGAGAGGGACATAGAGCTGCATTGTTTGAACTATGTTAAGCTCTGCTTGTGAATGCACTTGGGTCATGTGAATATTAACACATCTTACAGATGATGACTAAGTGAAATGTGGTCTGTGTGGCTGTGTTGGCTGGTCACTCCCTTGTTTGCGGTTACAGAAACAGGTGTGATTTCTCAGAACACCTCTATACCTGTGAAACCTGTCAGGTAGAGGCGATATCTTATGCATGGTATTCCAAAATAAGTAAATACATTGTAGAAAAAAAGAAAGTAGAGAAAAATATAAAATGTAGAAATGAATAAATAAATACAGTTGACACCTTTATTGAATACATTAATAAAATATTATAAAAAGTAAAATGTAAAAATGTGTGTGTGTGTGTGTGTGTGTATATATATATATATATATATATAAA